TTATAACTTATGTAAAATATTATTAAACATTGTTTTACCGAACTAGGTCAGTTTATATTGATTTAAGTGATACGTAATGCTGTGTTTTTTGCCAATTGGATTTATTGAAATTCTGAAAATATTATCGGACATTCAGTACATTTCTATACACAAATTTAAGGAACGAATAATTGCATTTTATGAGTAGAGTAGGGATTTTTCCGTATATAAATCAAAGTATTGTTATAACAGTTGAAGTGTTGAAGAACTGATGTTTTGTGATGGAAAAATTGCGATACTTCAGCCAACACTTTTGCCCTCTAGAAAAGTTACGAAGGAAAATTCCCCTCACGCCTCCCGGGCCGGGCCTGTAATTAATAACCAAGATTCAGCCGCCTTTCACATGCAAATCCAACTCATCGGGAAGAGGTAAGTGCTCTTAATTTATATTCTTTGGCAGGTGTAGCCCCGGACTAACCATTAACAAGTTGTCGCCGCTGCCGCCGACGGCATATCAAGTGAATCTAAGGAACCTTCGCTGAATCTTCTTTTTCATCACTTTGGTGCCTGGGCCTAAAAACATTGATTTTTCTCTTCTTTCCTTCGGCCTTTAGCAATAAAAGGAAGTTTATGTATAAACAAATCTATTGTATTTGACGCAAACCAAAATGCTCTTAGACCAAACCTTTTTAGATACTTTTTATATAGTTTAAGTGGAATTTTTTTTAACCTACATACAAAATAAATTACTAAAGATTTGCTACATTCGAATGGTTCGAAATAGTTGGTCGTTGGACGTGCATTTATGACATGGGGATAGATAGGATATGGATCAGCCGTGGAATACCCTCACTAAGAAACCACTGACCGTGCTTTCTTTACACTAGTGCACACGTCTAGGAAGGGATTTGAAAAGATAAGGTGGGTTCGATTGTGTATTTATGTATAAGGATGAGCAGATATTTGGAAATAGAACTTAAATAACGAGATTCGGCAAGGTCGTAGGGAATGTTTTGGTCGGTGTTCATGCTGTGATTTCTTACAAGAAAGAGGCATTTACGATTGTAAGGAAACATAGAATTTGAAAATCTAAATGCGATGGAGGTTGACTCTCATTGCCTGAATTTCCTGTACACTAGAGCTATAATCTCTAAATCCATATAGAAGCAAAAAGAATACTACATGTATAAACGAAACAATCTTCACAACTTCCTATAAAGTCTCAACGGACTACAAAGGAGAGGAAGAACACAGGAGATCATCAGATACAATGATATGGTACACAGATGGCTCCAAAACAAACGAAGGAACCTGATCAGGGATTTTCTGTACAAGCCCAAAACATGAGCAATCAAACTCATTAGGGAAGTACCCTTCGGTCTTTCAAGCGGAAATACATGCCATTAATGCTTGTGCCCTGGAAAATCTTAAAAGAGACACTGACAAAATAATCCTAATAAGATCAGACAGCCAAGCAGCTATTAAAACATTAGCATGTAAAAGAATCACATCAAAACTAGTCAGTGAATGCATCCAAAATCTCCAAAACCTGGGGTAACACAACAACCTGAGGATATCTTGGGTGCCAGGGCACAGAGGAATTTTGGGTAACGAGAAAGCAGACAGACTGGCCAGAGGAGGATGGCCCCGAACCTATCCTTGGGATAACAAAAACAAATATAGAATCCTCTATCGCAGAATGGATCCAAGCAAAACAAAAGGAAAAATGGATCAACTCTAGCGGTGCTAGATATAGTAAATGTATGATGAAACAACCCTCACCGAGACTGGCAAAAACCCTGCTACAATTGGAGAGGGCCAAACTCAGAGGAGGCTAAATATAGGACTACTAACCGGTCACTGGTATCTGAGAAAACATCTACACAACATGGGTATATACAGCGACGACCCCATTTGCAGATTATGTGCAGAGGAAACAGCCACTCATACCATCTTCGAATGCGAAGCAACAGCTCAATGGAGGTTTAACCTAACGCATGGAAAAGACTTAGGGAATCAAATTGCAGCAGCAACGGTCAATGAGCTGATACTTCTAAGAAGAAGGATTGAGTCTATTGACTGAACTAAGGAACTAGGAAGGTACAATAAGCCAGAAGGCTGCAGTGCCTGGGGAATACAAACCCCGCTTCCTAGCATCCTTTCCACCATACCATACATACATGTATAAACGCAGTCCAGGCGAGCTAGCTACTAGCTGTGATTCATGGATGCTTCATTAGAACAAAACATTAAAAATAGTGTACTACTATGTAAAGAAATATAGAAATTTAGAAGATGTAAAAGATGTAAAAGATGAGCACAAGGGAGAATTGAGTGAATGTCAAGAAAATACATTAGAAGCAAAGGAAATCCACGGTGCTTTCAGGACAAAGAAATGATCGAATTGAATGGATGGAATGAAGGAATGAACCAGGTTAGTTTGGTAAACTGAAAAATAAAAGAGAACAGCCATAGATTTGTGAGGATAGTGTGCCATAAGTGTTTTGATTATTTTTAAATCAACTTAATGTGTGTGTGTGTGTGTTTGCGTGCGTGCGTGTGTGTGTGTGTGTGTGTGTGTGTGTGTGTGTGTGTGTGTGTGTGTGTGTGTGCGTGCGTGCGGGTGTGAGTTGAGTGCACATGACATTCAACTGGGATATTTTTTCCGTAACTATGAGATATTTCATAACTTTTTATTACGATTTTATTTCTGAGCTTTTTCTATGACATGCACTTGCCTTTAAGTTGGCTAGATTTTGCTGTAAGCTGATGAAATTTTTAAAGCATTTCTTGGCCCTGACTACATATTAGCTCTTCAAGAGGACATATATTCTTTTACATATTGGTCATCATCTTTCCTTTAACCTAAGTAAGTGCAAATCCATTGGTTTCTCCATTACCTTTCTCCTTCCAGTACGCCATCAGCAATATCAACGTTGAGCGTGTTGATGTTATGGATGACTTAGGAGACATTTTTAGCTCCGTCTGCAAATTGAATACGAATATCGATACAATTATTAAAAAAGCGAACCGTAATTTCGGATTTGTTAAAAGAATGACTGCTGAATTTATTAATCCGTGCTTTTAATGGTCTTATTTCAATACTTCGTGAGATCACATTTGGAATATGCAGGTATTACATAGGCGCCCAATAACAAGGGCGACAGACTCTGGAAAGCATTCAGAACGGCGCTCTTAAATTTATTTCCCCCAGGAGTATTGGTCATAAATTGACGACGATCCTTCCCTATGTACGAACTTCAAGTTGAACTCTCTCCAGCCTCAAAGGTAAATTAGCTTTCCATCCTTCGGCGTGAAGGTGCTCAACAGTTCAATCGACGCACCGTACACCCTCTTCATGTTCCGGTTAAGGGTCATGACACCCTGAGGGATGGCCAACTTTTCCATCCGGATCTCCTATGGGCCTGGCAGTACAATGAAAATTTTATTTTGAGAATGAGTCATCGAGGTCACCGGCAAGTGGATATCGCAGAGGGAGTTGGCGTTTCTCGGAGCACGGTCTCCCGGGCTTTAGCCCGATTCCGAGAGACTGAAGGTGCCAACTGAGGCCTGGTAGTTGATCTCAGCACATTACTTCGCTAAGGGAGGACATAAATATTATCACTGCTGCAAGACGGAACCATTTCCATAGTGGCCGCCAGATCCCAAATGAAGTACAAGATGTTTTGGCAAGGCCTTTATCTACGATTTGTAATCGTTTGTGGGAAGTTGGCCGACACGATTATACCCCTTTGAGACGACCTGCAGCAACAGCCCGCCACGAGCAACTCTGGAGAATATGGTGCAGCAAGCGCCTAGAAGAGGACATTGATTGGAATGCTGTTATGTTTACGGATGAGTCGCGTTTCTGTCTGTACAGTGATCGCAGACGCCGAAGTCTGACGAGAACAGGGGATACTTACAATGCCCCAATGCGTGCTCACTTCAGTACAGTTTGGAGGAGTCAGTGTAATGGTCTGGGCTTGGATTTACACTGCAGGAAGAACTGGACTGCATATTGCTGAAGGCAACCTCACCGCAGTCCTTTATGCCCAAGAAATTATCGAGGAATACATTCCTCAAAACAGGGACCTCGTTTCAGGGGTTTTCGATTTCTGGATGACAATGCTAGTCCTCATAGAAGCAGAGTATCAATATTTAGAAAACCTTGAAATTCCCCATCTGCTCCTTCCCCCATTGTCTACAGACCTCAGTCCCATTGAGCACATGTGGGATGCGTTGCAGAGAAGGTTTTTCGATCACCATACGCATCCAATTGCAGTAACTATGGAATGAAATTCCTTACAAAATTAGCAACAATATTATTAACAATATTCCTAGCAGATGCACATGGGTTTTTAACTAACAGAGAACATTATCCACGGTATTAATTGTTTAAAAAATTATATACATTAATCAAAATTATGGAATTAAAACTTTTTATTTTGTTATTGTTCAAAATGCCTTAATTAAATTTTCCTTCAGTAAAAATCATAATAATTTCTAATACATTTTAATGCAATTTATATTAAACATAAAATAAAAATGCTCAGGAAATTAAATACTTCAAAATTGTAAATATCCCTTCTAATTTTTGAGCAGTTTAGAACAGTCACGCGTTATTAAATAAGTGTGAAAATTGATTTAAAGGTTTTGTTAGTCTATATGAAATCATTTTTAGTTTAATTAGCCTTCAAATAAACATTCCTCAGTTCGAATTGATTTTCTATAGTCAAAAATGTGTTGATTGTTGGGTCGCTTGTACTGAAATAAGTTTTTATTACATCTTTTTTTGTCACTATTCAATTTTGTTTTATTTTTCAAGATTAAATTTACTTTTCCGTTCAATTTTTATAGAAGAAAATTTGTTTCAAATGTTAACTAAAAATGTCGATAACATGCTTAGTATTGGCAATTTATTGAACAACTTATTAGTAATTCACTAATTTAAATTTCATCGAGACAGTTAATTTAGGGTCTCTCGTCAGAGAAAACTTTTCCACATGACTTCTTGCACATTATTATTCTCTATGATCAATCCTCGATGTACATAAGACGCTTTTGATCAATAATACACAACCAAGAGAGTACTAATTATAAGTAGCATGATGTTCATTTAGCTGGTTATCCTACCATCTTATTTCGATATTCAGTCGAAATGGAAGAGGTGATGTCGAAGTCCGGTTTGAACATGACTCTAAGCTACTTTTCGGGTTTTCGAGGCCCCCTCGATATCAGATTCAAGGAAAAGTGGTACTCCGCACTTTACCGTTTATTCAGCTTCTATACAGATTTCTTAATAATAGCCAACACTATAACAATAGGAGTACATTTTTTGAGTCCGTCGACGCCACTCGCGGAACGCTGCGCTTGCGGCTTTCCAATGCTGACCTCATTACATTCTAGCTTGAGAACGTTCTATTTCACTTTCAACAGGCCGAGATTTGCCAAGCTTATGACCGATTATGAGAAGGCGTTCAAAGGGGATCCAACAGAAGAGAGGTTGAACGCCGAAATCAAGTCCGGGGCCGATCTGTTCCGACCTTTCCCGAGGATCTTACTCACTTTCATGGTAGCACCGATGATCCCTTGGTGCTTCATCCCCCTCGTGAGCGAATTTCTCGGACTTCCGAGAGTACTGACAATCCCCGCCTGGTTTCCTATGGATCTGACTCAACGGACCTTCTTCTCCACATTTTCCTTTGCTGTGGCTACTATGATCCAGACACTCGGGGCGACTTGGGTGCCGATGAGGGTCATCGCATTCGACGATGTATTTTACTGCTATGCAACGAGACAGCTCGCCTTGTTCCGCCACCTTAGTCGCAACTTCGAAGAGATTTTCGAATCGTCTCACGTCTCACCACAAGGATTCGTCACTTATACATTTTCATCTGGAAGGGTAGCAACTAAAGAGGAAGTCAAAAAGGAGGTGTCGAGAAAGCTTAGACAATGGATCATTTATCATCAAAAAACCATAAAGTATGATTCTGCAACAATAAATACCAATATTCCATTAATTTTACTACTTAGGTTAGAAAATATCGTACCATAATTAAATATGGTAGAAACCGTTTTGTAAAATAGATACTTTTAATATAGTACTTTGGCTTTTCAGATCATTTCAGTCTGCCCTTCGCTGTTTTTTCGTCTAAATCTGCGAGAATAGGAAGAGCAAACTATTCTGAAACGACAAAAGTTCAGATAAATAAGACACACGCCAACAAGTTCAAAGAAAAATATCACAATCTTCGCTTGGTGTGATATATTAGGTGTTTGTACATTAATATGACCTATGCGCAACATAGTAAGCTTCACCTTTGCCGGTTTAGAGCCACTCAAGTCACGGTGTCCTTCACATTGGGAAGCGTTCTTTTTAAATCCGTTCGACGTTCAACGTGTAATGCTAACTTAACTGCCTTATCTACTTTTTCGTTCCCGGTTGTACCAATGAGCCCAGGACCCCATGCCAGAACGACATTTTCCCCATTGACATCAATACCTTTCAGTTGTTCTTATATTTTTCTGATTCATAGGTCTGCGATGCTCTTTTCCTGAGTTTATGGATTAGCGGCATATTAAAAATTAATTAGTTAAATGTTTCATATAAAACTTTCAAAATTTGAAGCTTTTGATGATATCAGAACTATTCTAGAGACATAAAATTTAAAAACGACAATATTTTGTCTAAACTGACTTTAAACACAATTTGGCATATCATTTCTTTGGTTTGCAATATTTATTGCTCATGTATGATTAAAATCAATTTTTTGATCAATGATGGTTTTAGATTGATGAAAGAACTTCAGAGCCTATATTCACCCGCGCTTTTTGTTCAGTTTGGTCTTTTATGCCTTATTTTGTGTTTCAACGCATTTTACGTCGCACTGGTAAGCCACATCGCAGTAATACTTAGATTCGATTAATTCCACAGGTCAATTCGTTTCAGGCGGACGTCGGGTTGATCCAGGTAATTTTTTGCGCATTCTTCGTCCTCGGAAACGCCATGGAACTACTGGTAACATGCCGGATCGGGGACTACATTGTTATACAGGTAAAAAACTATGTATGTAGCAGCGAAACGTATCTAAGTTCAATTTTGTAGAGCAACAAATTAACGGATGGGATCGCTGGCAAAGATTACTATTTGATGGCTAAACCAGAGTTGGCATATCTGCGCATGATAATGACTAGATGCCAAGTACCTCTGTCGATGTCGGCACTGGGCGTTTTTCCTCTTAACACAGACACTTTTCAATCTGTAGGAATTATGTAGTAAATCATGTTTTCTAAAGTGTCTAACTAAAAGAAACTGTTTTTTTTTTTTTTGCAGATTATGGTCTCAGCTTATTCATACTTCACCATGCTGAAGAAACTCAATTAAAAATTTAGATTTGGCTTGTATTAATTTAGTTGGATATTTCATGCAATTAAATTGTAGATAAGCACCGTATGCTGATTTTATTTATTTAATCTAAAATTGTGCAAATGGATAAGGGACCGCGGTAGTCGAGTGGTTAGCGTGAGAAGCTCTCGGTTCATAGACCCCGCGTTCGTGGTTGGATTCCCACCGTCACCTCTGGCCTTTTTTCACGATACCCTCCCTCCCGAATATGAATGCACATAATAATCGTCTCCTTGGCTAATATGCATCGATGATAAAGGCATAAAAAAATCTAAATGGATTTCTTAAAATTAAAATACTGCTCCAGGGTGAGCACCAAATACTCAAGTCCTATTTTATACACTATTTATACTGCTGCCTTTTCTACACATCCCAACACCACCTATGCGGATGAGACCACAATTTTTTCTTCTAACTCGAATCATTATTCAAGCAGTATCAAGCTTCCAAGGCACGTCCAACGCAAACATCAATCAATAATGATAATAATAACAAATAGATTTTTTTTCATCGGTGATGGTTTCTGTGTCTCTGGACAGTCTGCAGGGTAACGGAGAAGGAGGCGATGCAGCCGTTTCTATCCCTTGAATTGACCAACGCGATTTGGTCCTCTGATGTTTAAAATAAAATTAAAAACATGACTAAAAAGAAACGGAAACGTCGACGATTTTTTTTTTTTTAAAGGACGGTTTCAAGATGCCAAACGACGGATGAGGCGTCCGTTACAAAGCCCATGTCTTGGGTGTACCGCGCTCTACCATCCCCGATGGTGTACAGCGGTTTAAGGCCAATAGCCTCGATTGAAGAGAAGATAATGGTCGATGAGCGATGGCTAGAGATGATCGTTTTTTTGCTTTTACTGCATTATAGGACCCTCATTTTAACGGCTTTCTCGATAGATAGTCAACTCTAAACAGTCCGTAATGTAAGGATGGGCTCTAAAATAGCTATCAGAAAGTCGTAAGAATGGTCTAGTCTCTAGTTCGCACCTGGTTCTCTACTTCTCTACTACTGGGGATGCATCGAGTAGAAAGGCGAGTGACCATTCGCAAATCAGCATCTCGCTTAGACACTTGAACAATAGGTAGCTGCTCGCTGCCAGTTTGTTTTGTGATAATCAGATGACCGGGATCGTGTGTGGAGAAGACGTAGAGCAAGCCCAGGTGTGAGCGACAATCGGCCTTCGGGGAGTAGCAGGGAACCGAAAGGGAAACAGCGAAACCTGAGGAACCGGTCGCCCACCACGAGCGCACTATTTCTGAAGAATGGCTACTTGTGATTGAGATTCCCAATCCGGCCTGCGAGAGAGCTCCCGCAGACTCGGATTCGTCCCCTCGAGACGACTGGCTGGGATAGGGCCGAATTGTTCGGCTCTTGAACGGTCATCTCGTCTCACCTATCCTGGGAGTCGTAGCCCACTGTGTGAGCAGCTGCGGCAACGACGGGTGGTATAGTGTGGTTTGGGGCTCGAGACTTCGAAACGGCTCACCTCGTGTTCTCATCCACGGCCCTTTTCTCAATCCGAGTTCCTTCATTCTATCCTGTGACCCCTCCCAACCCTTGGTTGCAAGGGGGGCATTCGGGCACAAAATAAAGGTGTAGCCCAGAGGGCGTGGCAACCTCTCTAAAACACAAGCTGTACTCGTGTCGGCCTAGGGTCGGCATGGGCGGCGGGTGCCTTAGCAGAGTCACACGAGGGCCAGTGCACCAGATTCTGTCTGCATAGACGGGGAGGATGTATGGCCATCTGGACCACGGGGTAACTAAACCTTCCAAATTCAGCCCTAGTTACACTGGGAACGGATTCGTGATGGTATGTGGTGACGCACCTGGCGGGAACTTGGACAGAAGCTGTCTTCTATCTGTGACCTTCGTGAAGCTTGCGTATGGCTAGCGTTATTACCCTCGGCCTCACGGAAGACGTTTGACCGGACGACAGTGTATAGGCGTTAAGGACGCGATGATTAATACTCTCGAATGGGTGAGTAAGCGAATGGAAACGGGTAGTGAATCGGTTGCTCTGACTCGAGTATGCTTTGCATTGTTGTGCGTATGACCGGCGTGGTACCGTTGGGGAAGCGAAGGATCGGACCACCTAGGCTGAGCCTATAGCGTCCCTCGACTGGGCAAGGCAGTTGTAGGCTGAGCTCGACAGGAGGTTTTACCGTGCTCGTCTAGGGGGTGGTTAGCAATTCCACTTAAAACAAAACCGCGGCCGGGGCGGATCCGGTAGTTTCTACTCTACCGAGAGCGAGGCTTAGGGGCTGTGACGCCTCTACACAAATGGTGCGGCGGTATCACTCTTCCGTCGTATGCGGAGGTGCGTCAGCTCTCATCTTGAAAATCAAAACGTCCGATAAGTCCGAAAGGTTAGGTGCGGATGTTAAAGATCCTATAATCTTGTGACGATGAGTACTCGGGAACCTCATGTACTAAGTTACATAGTGAATCGGTTGCGCCTACTCGAGTACGTAATGTACACGACTGGCGGCTTTTACTGTAGGCAGTCTCCTCTAGGGGGTGGTTAGCAACTCCACTTTAAGCAAAACAGCGGTCGGGGCGGATCCGGTAGTTTCTATCCTATGGGAAGCCCCAATACTCTGAGAGATAGTTTGGCCTTCTCTATCTAGAGAGTGCGCGGGAAACCAGGCTGATGTATTTCGGACTAGGTAGCCCTTTGCGCGCGGCATACGGCTCGATGCTTAATGCGGACCCGACCGCTCGGAATGGGCAAGCGGAGAGCAAGTTTTGTCTTGGCCCCTCGGGGCTGGGCGGCCTCTATACCAATGCTGCGGCAGTAACACACTTCTATCGTACGCGGAGGTGCGTCAACTCTCATCTTAAGAATCAAAAAGTCCAATAAGGCCGAAAGGCTAGGTGCGGACGTTAAAGATCCTCATTGTCCTTTTAAGGACGACCGGGTATACGGGAAAGCAATGTACTAAGTTACATTGAGCAAGATCTCCTGGAAGCCCAGCATCCCCTACTGTCCGTTTATTCGGGCCAACTTCGTGTCATCGCGTGATAATGCTCGACCGCGTGTAGCTCGAGTTGTCACCTAACTGGAAGATATAGATATTACCATAATGAATTGGCCAGCACTTTCTCCTGACATGAAGCCTATAGAATACTGTATGGGACTTGATATAGATACCTCGTTCGCCGCCTCCAACAAGCGTTGAATAGCTTTAAACCGCTCTTATTGAAGAATGGGATTCCGTTTCACAAGACGAAATCCGATTTATTCGATGCCTAGTAGAATTAATTTGCATGGCTAGCGGGATTTGGCAATACGGATTATTAAGACCAAAACCTGATAATAAATTGTTATTTAAATTTTAATCTATCGGTAATGTGTTATCCAGTATTTTGGAGGATTTATTTCAAACTATCATAACTAAAAGATTTTTATTAAATCTCATGAATTTCTGATCTCGTTTAATTTCGTTTCCAATTAAAATAATTATTTATAACAAATATATCGATAAAAATATCATATATCATATATAGGGCACTCTCAACACCACACGCAAAGATGGCACAATTACACAGAAGACAAACACTTTGAGCCCTGAAGATGATCCCAATAAAAGATCGAAACGTTGGCACGATAAAGAAAATGTTTTTCTGAAACCTACATCACACCCGACCGCATCTCACGATATCCGAATAACTTTTATAATTAAACGGCTTTTCAATTGACTCGTTTGATATAATGCATTAAANGTTTGTAAATCCCAGGCCCTGAAGATGATCTCAATAAAGATCGAAACGTTGGCACGATAAAGAAAATGTTTTTCTGAAACCTACATCACACCAGACCGCATGTCACGATTTCTAAATAAATTTTATTTTGTTTCAAGTACCAACAATATCGTAATAACTAAGGAACATAACTTGTATATTCGTTTCTTGATTAGTCTTTCATGTATGGCGTATATTACTGATATAAAACTGGAAACGCCCGTTCCAGCTAGAATAGTCCCCTCACTGACGAAACCATCCAATAAATCACATGTAATAGGGAAGATTTGTCGGATCGAAAGCTGGCGATAATCGTAATATTTTATCATGCGATGATAGGAGGGGGCCAAACGCTACGAGGTTTGTTTATTAAGCAAAGTGAAGTACTCTGTCGTCAGAGAGCCGTTGCACTAGCCGCTCCATGGTCTCGAGAGAAATCTATAGAAAGAGTTACATGGTACGGCTCTTAACTTGAGTAGTTGAGCATTTGCACATTAAGTGCATCGCCCCAGCCTCCAGCAAGCAATTCCTCCTGCCTATTATGACCGACTTCACTGGCATAAACATTGTTTCGGGTAATGCGAATTCTGCACTTACGGGAATTCAGAGCGCGTTAATGAACACTGACCAATAGAAGTAATCCACCGGAGCCACGCAACCACAAACGTTTTTACCAAATTGTGAACAACCTAGACGAGAGCTTCCCAAACTTTTTAGCCAGCGGACCCCTTTCACAGAACAAAATCCAGGGCGTACCTCATTCATTCTAGTATTTAAAATTAGATATTTATTGTATATGTAGTAAATTAAAGTTGTATAAATTAGCATTACCCAGTCCATTCCTAATCAGGTGATGGAGAGAGATATCACTATCAAAAAAAATAGTAGATTGACATAAGTTACTATCTACTTAACTTTATTACAAAATCCGGAAGACAAAAATCAAATCGGACAGAATGGAATCAATAAGTATATAAAACAAGCCAATTTCAGATTAATTAATGAACACAAAGGAAATAAATAGGTGAAGTTGTTTTAGCCTGCACAATATGAATATGTTGGGTTTAATTGTTGAAGGCTGGAAACGGATGTCGGGTTCAGCATCTAGACAGCTTCGGTATTTAGTTTTAGTGGGTGTATAGATAAAAATCCGGATTCGCATAGGTAAGTTGTCGCAAACGGAAGAAGACGTTTTGATTTTTCAACGAGCGGGTGAAATTTTTTGTTTTCCAGATGGAGTAAAAAATGGGCGTAAGTATCGGAATCGAAGTTAGATTTCAAGGTGGAGTCTAAAGTAATGTATA